TTTTATTTGGCGAGGCTCGTCTCATTATTTTTAAAAGGATAATCTTAGCATGACTACATTTTCTATTTTTTGTTTTCTAAAATAAATGAAGATAAGGTCCTACATACTTTCGAGTTATTATGGTTAAGTTTCAAAAAGTGAGTTGTTTAAGGAGTTTGCATGGCAACGCATAAAACATTCTACATACAGACAGTAAAAGAAAGAAAAGACTACATTAAATTACAACTTCAAATCTTTCTCATTTGTTTGCATTCATGCCTCGAGTGACTTACAAGATGAACCAGTGTAGCAGTTTGTGTACCTGGTATTTGGGAAAGCAAGGAAAGAAGATGAAGATCAGTAGAAGCAGCAGTAATGTAAATACACAGCAACAGTAGGCTTAGCAACAGCAACAATTCGAACCAGATTCAAGGCCCAGAAAACTTTGAAGAAAAACCGAACAACTCAACAGAACAAACCCAAAAGTTTGTAAACCAACTAAACAGCAACAAACCACATCACCACAAACATACTCCAAACCCACGTGTATTAAAACCCGAAACTAAACTCGTTTCTCACTTTATTTTTGTTTTCTCTTTTTAAAACTCTCTAACACTTTTGGGATTTTCGGAATGTCTTCCTCTCTCAAAATAATCCCCAAAAATCTTTCAAGTTCAGTCTAAGTTTTTTCTCTCAAGTCTTAGTTCCAATGTTCAAGTCCTCTCAAGAATGTGTCAAATGACTCTATTTATAACAAGACTCTTGTCTTGAATCTCAAACCCGAAATATTTCCCCAATTGCATGCTTTGTCCCCACTACTTAATGTTTTCTTTATTTTAAACCCTTGTCCCCCATGCTTAGCATAAATAATTACATTATTCTCACCCCACTACATTATTTCTTGTCCCCCATTATATTAAACAATTATATCAAACCCCAACCCATTACATCTTGTCCCTCATGCTTAAAATAAATAATTACATTATTCTCACCCCACTACATTATTTCTTGTCCCCCATTATATTAAACAATTATATCAAACCCCAACCCATTACATCTTGTCCCCCATGCTTAACTTAAATAATTGTTCAAATGTTCAATTCCAAAAATACCCCTCCGACCTTACTGCAATTACCATTTTACCCCTGAACGTACTGAAATTTACCAAACTACCCCCATCAGCTATAACCAAATCACCTAATCAATCTCAACCAAAATACAGCAAATATGACCAATTTCTAAACAAATTCAACAACAAATCTCATGAACACATATTGAATCATACAGCTTCAAATTAATGGGAATAAGTTAACCATATTGGGAACCAATCCTGGTTAACTTAGACCAAAAATGAATGAGCAAAGAGACAACAATATCAACAACAAAATATATGATTCAAACTAAATCAACAAATCAAAAACCAAAACAAACTCAAATTAAATTACTGGATTAAAAATGAACTTCAAACAAAGAATGAACATGCATTAAATCCATATTAAATAACAAACATGACGGATCCAAATGATTAAACCAACATATTTCCCTATTACAACTAAATTCTTTTAGACAAATAAAAACAAACCGAAGAAGAAACAATTATGAATTTAAACTTGAATCTAACAACATTAACAATTTTTGAAAAATACATAAAACACATGAAACAAACTGAAGAAATAATTAATTAAATTTCAATTTGAATCTAACAACATTAAACTAACAATTTCACATGAACAAACTGAAAAATTAACAAAACGATAAACACGAACAAAACAAGAATCAAACATTTACCGATTTTAGATTCGAGAATATTAAAACAAAATACGGACAAAAGTGAAACTCAAAACCCACTAATCAGATCGAAACGGCGAAGAACTTGAATGAGAACAAATCTGTCCAGGAACGATTATCATGCCAAAATAGCTCGACGCCGAAGACGACCATGAACGGACCATGAACGAGAAGGTTGTTCTGTGCAGCCCTTTTTTTCTTTTCTTTTTTTCCAGGTGGAGAAGAAAGCAGCGAGGTCGACGAAGCAGAAGCAGAAGCGTGGTCTGGGTGGTTCGTTCATGGCAAGGTTCTGGCTGGTTGACGAAGCAGTGACGATGGGGTTTGCTTGGACGTGATGGACGTAGCAGAAGGTGAAGCTAAAGACGGGGTGACCAGCTGCCATGGGAGCTCAGGCTCGAGCTCGACGAGGCAGCTGAAGATGAAGCAGCAGCGACGGGGTTGAGAAGAAGACGCAGCAGCAGCCATGGATGTCGATATGGAGCTCGAAGGTGATTGTTGCCATGGATGTCGATATGGTTTCGACGAGGATGGAGGCTGGGCGAGCAGCCATGGACGAGCTCGAGCTCACCATGGAGAAGTCAAAAGCAGCAAGAGGCAGCCATGGGAGCTGGACCTCGACTGACTGCGGTCGTGAAGGTAACCATGGTCGAGCTTGAGCTCGACAATGGAGAAAAACGGAGCTGGGCGATGGACTATCGTGGTGGTGTGTGTGTGTATATGTGTGTGTGGCGACGTGAGGGGGGGAGGCAGCCATGGTTGCTGCTCACGTTGGGGCTCATTTGGGACGAAGGGAGAAGACGAAGAAGGGGGCGGGTAGGTGGTTTTTAGGGTTTTCCTTGTTTTTTTTTTGTTTTTGTCAAATGTAAGATATGGGGTGTTGGGTATTTGGGTTATGGACCGGGTCGACCCGGTTTGAAATGGACCGGGTCATGGGGAAGGTTGGGTATTCTTTGGGCCTGTGGCTTGAATTTGAAGAAGAGCCCGATTCCGATTTTCTTTATATTTTTGCTCTCTTTTCTTCTTTTATTTTTCTAAAATTAAATTCTAAAAATCCTTAAATTATTATATAGAACTAAATTAATTTATAAAAGCGCAAATTAACTCCCAATAACAATTAACACATAATTAAGTAATAATTAAGCATAAAATTGTACAATTGGACATTAAATGCTAAAAATGCAAACGATGCACATTTTTTGTAATTTTCATTCTTGTAAAACAAGTTTAATTATTCTTAATTGTAGAATTAAATCCTACATGCAAATGCGACGTATTTTTTGTATTGTTTTATTAATTTAACAAATAAACATGCACAGACAAATACAAATAATTATCCAAAAAATGTCACAAAAATTCTCAAAATTGCACACCAAGGAAAATTATTTTATTTTGAATTTTTTGGGAGTAATTCTTTCATAGGACAAAAATCACGTGCTTATATATATATATATAAACAACGAAACCGAAATATTTAAATCTTCCGACCATATTTTTATGTTTCAAGCAATTAGGTTGCTGCCAACTTGAATAATATGATTGGTAAGCATCTGAGAACAAGTTCTTTGTTTTTGTTTCTTTATTTGCTTGCTTGATTTGCCACTAATTGAGTAACGTGTAGATAAAAGAGAATTTAAATGAGATTTACGGTATTTACTTAATTAGGCTATGAGATTAAGAGATAGCAATACAGTATATACGAATAGCAAATCCTTTGTTGTAGTCTAGTTGGTCAGGATACTCGGTTCTCACCCGACAGACCCGGGCCCAAGTCCCGGCAACGGAATTCCTTTCCTTTTCTCACTTGGAAAAACTGTGCCCCCTATTTTTCTTTTGATCCCCTTTTTATTTATCATCCAGCTTATGGATTATAAGTTCAAGTAACTAATACAATGAAGAAAATTCCAACTATTTCGTTTGCTTTTGTCATCTGGGATTTACTTATCGAGCAGAAAATATTATTTTAGTCTCTATTGCCCGTTTTATTAGGAAAATTAATGGGAATGTCAATGTGGCAAAAAATAATTACATGAAAATATTTGTTTGAAAAATATTATTTTTTGTATTGTTGTCGACCTTTGGAGTATACAATTATGTGAATTCTACCCTCCGAAGATATATAACGCACAAAATTTTTAAATAAAAAAACCAAACCAAATAAGGGCAGCTCGTGATGAAGCATCTCGCATTCACGCAGGGTCCGGAGAAGTGTCTCACCCCAAGGCGGTGTGATGTAGGCAAAAAAAAAAACAAATAATGTATAGAATTCTACCCTCCGAAGATATATAACGTACAAAATTTTAAAATAGAAAAACCAAACCAAATAAGGGCAGCTCAGTGCACGAAGTATCCCGTATTCACACAGAATCTGGGAAAGGACCGCACTCCAAAGAGGTGTGATGTAGGAAAAAAACAAACAAACCAAATAATGGGGGAAAAACTTGGTTCGTTTTGATTTTTCTGTATAATCCATATATTAAACACCCCTAGCTGTGGAAACTTTCGTCCCTTAATATCCGTCGTAATTTTTTTCAAATTTTTCCCACTCTAAGAGCCCGTTTGAACATAAGAATCTTTTAACTTTTTTCCGAAAATTTCACTTTTTTTCGAAATCAGTGTTTGGCCATAAAATTTTCAACTTCGCTTGAAGATGAATTTTAAAAAATTTCAAAAATTTAAAAAACTCCAAAAAACTATTTTTCAAAATTTTTTCCCAGTTTCTAATGGGTAATCTTGCACAAATTTTTAGAGCTTTTAAACAAGCGTCTTGACTCTTTCGGAGTTTCACGCATCATACAAATAGTAGAAGAAAGAAAATAGAAAAGATGGTGGTTGACCAGCACATCAATAAGCCACTTCCCCTTCAGTTTCAATCCATTGAAATATGCCGATTACTCTAGAGATCAGCCACACCCAAAGGTCAAAAATGACAATGGATAGATGCCAAAAGAAAGTACTTGCTACTTGATGAAGCAATTTTTTCAAGTCTTGATTAAACTATCCTGTGTCACATACCCGGCTGCTCATCCGTATTCTTGCCAGGTAAGGGAGGTAAACTATCCTTACCAAAAGGTTCTTCATTCCCAAAACTCAGAAACTCGAACCTATGGTTTAAGGGTGAATGGATCTCAACCATCCAACTCTATAGTTGTGAAGTTATTTCTTTCAATTTAACAAGACTGCTTCGTCAAAACTTCAAACAAATACTATGTAAAGCCATAGCTTGTCAAAGTGCAAAACACTGGATCAATTCATTTTCAATTGAAAGCACTAAGTATTCGAAGGCAGGAGTAGAGACAGAACAAATCCAAAACTAAAATGGAAACATATATGGGGAGGAAAAACAAGAGATACAGAGCTAAAGAGTTATAAATACTAAATTTGAAGGTGACATGAAATAACACAGGAACCTCTCACATAAATCCTTTGTTGTCCTTGAGCATCAGGTAAACTGATATCTTTATTGATAAGAGATCGAATCTACAGCCGATCAGCAGATGTGAACCAATTCTGCAAGCCAAACAATCAACTACATGGAGCCCAAAACACAAAGTAACATAATTCAGCCAGACTATCTCATCCAATGCAGAAGAATAAAAAGATAATTCACAGTTACAGAGCATAACATGCTCGTCTTCTACTCTGCTCTCGACTGGCCAGCACGAGAAGAGAGAATGATGCCAACAATAAGGCCATAAAGAGCCAGGGCTTCAGCGAAAATAAGAATCAGAATCATCCCAACAAAGAGCTTTGGCTGTTGCGCATTAGCTCTGTGAATAACAAAAAACATGAAACAAACCATTAATTAGTTTCCCCTTATCATCTCAAGTTCAAAGTCTCCTCCCTCCAGTAAGGCGAAAACAATGAAGCAGCAAACTGAATGCTACAGTCACAAAAGGGATCATTATATAAACAGCCTTTTTAGAGCACAATGATATTGCAATGGAAGTTATCATGGCACCATGCTGGAAACTAACTCAGTTTATCTTTAATTTTTTTCGATATGTCAAAAATCTCTATTAATATCACATGGGAATAGTGTAATCATTACTAGTAGACACCAGCTGAAGTAACCAACCAAGTCCTATAACTAAGCAACAAATTCAACGAGATGACCAGAAGCACCATTATTCCATGATACAGAAGATAAAAAGGTAAAGTACAACTTTTAGTGTTAGTTCTAATCTACCTTCCTGTGGTCCTATCCAACATGCTAAAATGGCTAGTTACTCCAAGGTTCTGATCCACCACTCTCCAATAATCTTCCCTTAGCGCCTTTCCGCGCTCACACCATCAATTCTACCCCTCTAATTCGACCTACTTCTGCAATCGACGTTGTGTGATCCAATCATACCTTAAAGAAAAGTTCTGCTGCCCTTCACCAACAATAGGTGAACTTCAGTCGGCCATGAATGGATGCATCTCTAAAAAAGGGCAGCCCGGTGCACAAAGCATCACGCATTCATGCAGGGTCCAGGAAAGTGCCGCATCCCAAGGGGTGTGATGTAGCTTAATAAAAAAAAGGGTCTTTGTAACTTTTGATAGAACAATCTATCTTTTTAAATGGAATAGGTATAGCCAGACTGATTAATACAGGAATGCAGAGACAATCATCGACTTAGTCAAAAAGGGTCTTTGTTACTTCGGACACAGTTTGTAACTTTTTACATGGAATTGGATAACAAAGTCCCATCAATACAAAAAAAGAAGCAGAATAATTTCAACTAAGTTTGATCCACTGAGACAATTTAAGTTTCTTCTGTAATTCTGTTTTGCGTCAAGATCACATGAACCATGCATTTAGGATATTCTTACAAATACGGGTAACCAAGAAAAACACAATATGATCAGCATATGGTTAATGCAGGACGCAAGTACAAAAAATAGTGGTCTAAGCTCATCAAGGAGTTTCAGGGCACAGCACAACAAGACTAAGAGCTCCATGACAGAAACTTTTTATCTAATTGGTCAAAACAGCAATGTCGACAGAATGCTGGTCAGTGTTATCAAACGCGAAAAGCACAAAAAAGCTCTAAGGTATGATAGGGCTTTAAGCGCAAAGCGCAAATAAAGCGTGGGCTTTAATGAAGAAAGGCACAAGTGGAGAAAAATTACAAATATGTAAGTGTAGTCCAAGACTAATATATACAAGTACGAATATCAAATATATGGACAAAGAAATTGATGAAAATTTATGATAAAGTGAAATCTCAATTGTTTAGTGTCGTCTCTTCCGTATTACGCTCATTAGCAAGGAAAAGTATGCCTAAGAGCCTTGATGACAACATTAAAGTGCCCGCTAAGCGAGGCGAAGCGCTCAACATGTTTTGAGCCTCGCTTCAGGGCTCAAGCGCGCCTTTGATAACATTGATGCTGGTGACAATAATGGTAGTGATTGTGTACTGTGTAGGCACAGTTATCAGTCTGAAGAAATCATGCAGTTGTCTTAGTCATTTTATGAAAGGGGAGCCTCGGAGAAACGATAAAGTTGTCTCTCAAGTCACGGATTTTAGTCGTGGAATCAATCACTGATGCTTAGTCAGGGTAGACTACCTACATCATACCCCTTGGGGTGCGGCGCTTCTCCGGACCTTGTGTGAATACGGAATACTTCGTGCACCAGGCTGTTTTTCTAAGTCATTTTATATTTTCTTTTTTTATCATTAGCCATTTTATACTACCCTCGGGGTAGGGGTAAGGTCTGCGTACATATTACCCTCCCCAGACCCCACTTGTGGGATTATACTGGGATGTTGTTGTTGTAGTCATTTTATACTACCATTGAAGATGAAGCTTCACTTTTCCGTTTGCAAAAGGGAGAGGGGTTATGTAGGCAGTAGCCGTTCAAGAAATGTAGCGGTTGCTCGACCAAAGCCGCTGGGCGGTAGAGTCGCTAGACTGACGACTGAGTGCCCTCTCTATCGCCTTGATTGTCGGTATAGTCCTCATTCTTGCTAGCTCACTTGGATTCTCTCTCACTAGCTTCCCTCTCGCTTGACTCACTCTGATTCTGCCTGTGATACCTTTTTATTCATTCGTCACACATCTGGGGTCTTTCAGTCACTACTGCCTGTGTCGCACCTACAGTGGCAGAGAGTTTGATAAGACTCTCGGATAAGAAAGATCAATCCTGAATAAGCTTCAGCTGATTCTCAATTACCTGAAAGTTATCATATAGGATGTATACAACCGGAACTAAGTCTGCACAGATAAGAAATACCTCATAAACTTGAGAACACTCCAGTAGCTTCTTCAAGCACACAATTCACCATCATTCATTAAGACAAACAAGTAAATCCATAACAAAGACATTCCCCATCATTCATTTACGACAAAACAATTAAAAACAATAAAAAAAATATTCCTAATTTCCCTATAATAATAGTATACAAAGCTAGAAGATCCGCTGCAACTAAAAACCTAAAAGGTAGCCAGACAGCCTGGCACTAGTAATCATCCAAACCCACAAAAGAATGGCACTACTACTAGGTGTTAAGAAGATTCTTCTTTGACCATGATATTTTCAAATACTTTTAAAGCATTTTTAGTAATAAATTGTGATATATAGTATTTTTCTCTTGCAATTTCTAAATATGCAAAATGAGAATTAAGAAATCATGTCGGAAGAAAATAAATGTGCTGACAACTCTCATTTCAGTGAGGAAGTATTTCAAGACCAATAAGAGGACTATGCATCCAAGAGACAAAAGTATCAGAAGGAGACTACCTAACACCAGCATCACCAACGATTCCGATGGCCATACCAGCAGAAAGGCCAGCAAGGCCACAAGCAAGACCAGAAGAAAGGTGAGCATAGCCATCAAAAAGATAATAAGACTTGGTTTTTGGGTTAATGCCAGTACTGATAATCACAGCTATAATCAATCCGTAAATACCCAAAACTCCAGCCATAACCACGGGCACAATAGACTTCATCACTAGCTCTGGCCTCATCACACCCATAGATGCCACTCCTACCCCACTCTTAGCAGTACCATAAGCTGCCCCCATACCTGAAATCATTTAACACAGACAAACATAATTAGCATAAATAGCAGAATGTATTTTAGCAGCAGCGATTCACACATACTATTTTTACGCTCATAACCTCATAGTAGAAAACTTCTAGAGATCATAAAATCATAAACAATTACACAAAACTAGCACTTAGAACAATGTAGCTTTGTGATAGCAGATCGGATGCACCAACTGCCTTCAACTCAACCTATATAACACACACACACACAAAAACAAAAAACAAAAAACAAAACAAACATCCTTAGCACCACGGTTGGAACCGTGTACCCACTACCTACCTTTGTCTCGACCTATATACAAACAACAACAACAACAACAACAACAACAATGGCTCAGTCCCAATCAAGCTGGGTCCCTATATGAATCCTCGTTGGCCATCTTTTTCCCAATTAAATTCATCTCAAATCAATCGACCTATATCTAGACAAATTGTAAAACCCACAAAAAATATCACTAACAAACACAACTAACATTCGGGATGAGCCTTGATTTGTGATACTGGTGCAGCTACATACAGTTGAAAACTTTTAAAGTCACAAGAAGTTATACATCAACAAGCATAATTAGCATTAGAAACGGATGTAGCTTGGCACTGTGCGACTCCTTATTGTTAAAGAAATGGACATTGGGCCTAACTCAGCCCCAAAATTATGAATGCCCAAGTCCATATAAGGAGACCAACCATACCTTCATTGCGGAAGTGGCGCTCAACACTTATACGTGTCAGGTGTAGTTAGATAACTTTCAAACTAAGTTAGCACGCATTATCACAAACAGAAAAATAATAATAGTGGGTGCAATGATCCTTCACATCCACTAGCTTAAATTTTGGATCCACTTATGATTAGCATAGGATTCACAATTCAAACCCTAGATCTATGAAAGGAAAAAAGAGATTTGAGGAAGAAAAAGTAAAAAGAGAGAAGAATAGAGTACAAACAGGAGAAGACTAAGGCAGCGGCAGCGCCGAGGAAGCCGAAGAAGGGAGCCGTTTCATCGCCGCTGAAAGTCGACGCCATTGTTTCTGCGAAGTTGTTTTTGGAGAGAGAAGAAAAAGTGTGAATGATCGGATCTGAGAAGTTCCTGTATTTCTTCGCGTCTCGTGAGAGAGAAAATACGTGTTTTTTTTTTGTTTGTGTGGCGCCGTCTGTGCGGAAGATCTCAATCTCGCTCTTAATACGAATTTAGAATTGCGATCGTCAGCTAGCCAGGAGTAGGACTTGCCCTGCACTTGCCGTTCATGGTTGGATGTGAATTGGTTTTTCCGTAAAAATAAATCAAACCAAGTAAGTTATTTTTTAAAATATTAGAATCAAATTAAACCAATTAAGTCGGCTTTTTCTCGATTCGGTTTATGTCAGTTTTACGGTTTTTTGATTATTTGTCGGTTTTTTATTAAATATAAGACATACACTACCAAATATACATTTCGGCGACCACATTTTCAACGTAACACTATCAAATCAATTGCCCTTTGAGAAATCTATTATTTACCAAGATATATTGATGATAATTGAATCAAATAGTGATGAATAATTTAAGGACTCAATTAAAAATATACTCCATCCATTTCAATTTATGTGAACTCATTTGGCTGGGCACGAAGTTTAAGAAAAGAGAGAAGACTTTTAATCTTGTGGTGTAAAATGAGGCACATATATTTTGTGCGGCTATAAATCATTGTGTAAAGGTAAATTATTTCTAAATAAGGAAAGGGGTCATTCTTTTTGGCACGGACTAAAAAGGAAATAGGTTCACATAAATTAAAACGGAGGGAGAATTATTTTTAACATGAAATAGATTCTTACACTTAACAAAAGAAAACTACCAATTAAACTAGAATGTAAGGTAAAGAACTGTACTAAATGTACAAACGATTAATATTTACTATAAAAAATTTAAAACTTTGTATAAAAGTATACATATATATAGGTGTAATAATAAATTTAAAATAGTTACTCCTATATTCGGTTTGGTTCAATTTTTTTTAATTAAAACCAAATCCAAACCAAATTTGATCGGTTTTTAAATTTCAAAACCAAAACCAAACCAAACCAAAAAGTATCAATTTTTTTGGTCAGCTTGGTTTGGTTTTCGGTTTGGTTCGGGTTTTCGGATTTTTATGAACATCCCTACTTCCTGCATCTCTTATTTCTTTCTTTAAATTAAAATATTGAGTTAATTGGATTAGTGAATAGAGACAAGATTAAAAAGCATTTTCAATTAAATCAAAAAATTTATTTAAAAAATTGAGCTAAATCAAAAATATATTAAGTAAGGAATTTCGAATCAATTGAAAATTAAGTATATTTTTAAAACTTTATATTTAATTTTCTTTAAAAAAAATATGTTTAAAACTATTTGTAACCCTCTTATTGTTAGACCAAAAAGTATGAGAACTTTTTTGTTAAACTAATTAAATAAGGATATAGAGAGTAAATCCTAGTTAAGAACAATTAATTCTAGATCTGAGATGAATAATATGAATAGAAAACATAGCTGAGTATAAATGCTGGTAGTGATTATGGCCAGAATTAATAACATGAAGAAAGATGCATTAAGTAACATTAAATGGCAATAAAATATAAATAAAGGAAAAGAGTCACCCAATCTTGAGTGAGGCGGATCCTCCTTCATTTGATAAAGATGAATGATAGACAAATACAAGAACATTAGCACCCTTTTTGGATCTGATGGAGGTATGGGATCACAGATCTTCTAATCTTTAGAGAGATGTGTTTTTCTTTCTTCGAGAGAGAGAGAGAGAGATAGTCCCCCTTTTTGGGAAGTCCTATCTTCCTATTTATAAGGGGTATCCCTAGAAAACCCTAAAAAGTACAATTAAAGGGAATATCCAGTAGAACATTCCCTTTGAGGATTCCCAAGCAAACTAGTTGTTACATCTATCATCACTGCCTGACCTCGGCCTTATTGATCTCTACTCGACCTCGGCCTTATTGATCTCTACCCGATCTCGGCCTTATTGATCTCTTCCCGACCTCGGTCAATTGTCTCCGCATGTCGGATTTCTCTAATCTGATTTTGACCCATACAGTTAGTCCCTTCATTTATCGAGGTCGCCTTTTGGTCGAGCTCGGTGAGCGGACTTCATTAATTGTAGTTCGAGAAATTCAGATGGGGAGGTTAACTAGTGTGGAACGCTGCTGAGGGTGCCACTCTTCGGGTCAAAAGTGGTATCCCCGCGAGTTGAACTTGAGCAGGGTTCAATCAGGGCCAATGAATCGAGTGATGAGTTAATCGAGAAGACGGTAGAGTTGGAGAAGGCCGACGAGGTCGGGATGGCGGCTTTGGCAAGGACAACAGCATTGAAGGAGGTCATTCGCGTCCTCAGATCCGGATGGGTGATTCGGCCCTTGTAAGATGGCTTTTCTGATACTTCTTTTGATTTAGAATGCTACTTTTTGCTGCTTATTCCTGATTCTATTTTTCTTTTTCTTGAATGTTTTCCTCGATTGATGGTTTCAAAGGAATCGTTGGTAGGCGTTAATCCGAGCGTGATTAAGTGTCTTTGATTGGTCCGAGGGAAGTCAGATGTTGCCCTATTCAACTCAAACGAGGTCTAGCTGTGAATCAAGTTCGAGCAAGGCTGAATGAGAGTTAAATTCGAGTGAAGTCGAATGTTAATTCGGGCGAGGAGGCCGAATGTGGATTCGGGCATGGAGGCACAATGTTAATAGGTTATGTGCACGATGTTGTAGAGTGGTATGTGCGCATTGTAGTAGAGAAGTGTATGTTTGTGGGTGTTGAACTAATTGTTGTGGGGTGTAATGGTGTAGTACAACTTGTGATTTGGGGGAAGCATTGATGTATCCATATGGGCTATATGTGTTAGGAAGTGTCTTGCCCACAAGGTGTTTGGGGAATTTTTCCAACGGAGTTATAAGGGCTAATGTGACCATGGTTGTGGTGAAGTCTAAGTAACCACCCATAGTTCACACAACACACACCCTCACTGATAGGTGCTTCTCTATCTGACAGGTAATATGCATCCATCTAGGAAGAGACGCAAAACAGGGTCCTCCGCTAGTGGACCGTGAAGTTCCTCGAGAGCTAGGGGTCAAGCTAGTGCGCCATAGTTTGACAGCACTAGGTTTGTCTCCAAACCGGTGGAGGACAGGTACAATGCAAATGCGTCTAAGAAATTGTTAGCGGAGGTGCACATTGATCGGGCAGCTTTGCAAGTGGAATGCCCGAATATCTTTGCTAAGTTGAGGAACCGTCAGCTGGACATCTTCTTTGAGGAATCGGAGGAGGCAAATGTACAGATGGTAAGAGAATTTTATGCCAACTACCCGGAACATGAGGAGGGGGTTGTCACAGTACGCAATACCCGGGTAAATGCATTCCTCGAGGCCATCCGCCGGGTGTATCGACTACTGTATTCACGGGGGAGATGGATGCTTATATTGCTTATCACCGCCCGAGGGTCAATTGGACACCAATTCTTGATGTCATATGTGTGCCTGACATGGAGTTTATATGGATAAAGCGTCTGATAACATGAACTCCCAGTCTCTTAATTGGGAGGCAAAGTGTTGGCTCAACATTATCAACAGCCACTTGCTACCCTCCAGCAACACGACTGATGTTAATGGGCCACGGGCAGCGACTATCTACAGTCTCATGACCCACCAGGATTTTGATGTCGCCCGGCTCCTCCATGATGAGATGTTTATTCGCTCACCTGAGATACTCAAAGGTTTTTACTTCCCCTCTCTGGTCATCAAGCTGTGTCATGCTGCTAGAGTCCCTGAAAACCATAGAGTTGATGGGAAATTTCCATTGAAAGCCTCGTTCCAGGCAAGAAAAATCGGAATTGGAAGAGAGTCAGTTGGGATGGTTGAGGATGATGATGAATTTGATGATGATGCTGAGGAAGTTGTTGTCCCACCACCTACGAGAGTTGATGAGGCGGGCCCATCACAGCCATGTCGTAGTACACGCATGACAACCTTGGAACAAGATATGGCTGTCTCCGCACTTCTATCATGGACCTGGGCACCAGAGTTGACACTTTGGCCACTCAACAGGCAAAGTCGGAGAAAAAGATTATGGGATGACTTCGAGCGCTAGGACGAGCATGTCACCTTGATCCTGGCACCGTCTCTGATCAGGATTGATTTTCAGGGAAGTCCCTTTACCTTACTCTACTTTATATTGTTGACATGGGGATATGCCAAACTTTTAAGTATGGGGTGGGGGATGGTTGTTGTTATAAATAGAGTGTGTAACTTTGTATGATGTTGCTTCTTTTTTGATTGATTGGTATGGTAGGTTCATGTAGTTAACTTCGACGTGGCCAGAAGACGGACACCTTTCGACAAGTCTCTTGGGGGACATTAGTCGAAACAAAAAAAAAAAGAAAAAAAGGAGAATATAAGGACTCTTCCTGATGACGGATATTTGAGACAGTTTCTTGAGGGAAGTTAGTCTAGAGAAATACTAAAAAGATTTTTATTTTTAGGTAGTGTAGTAACTTCCCCTTGGTTTTTCTTTGGGCCACGATTTTTTTCCAAGGGTTTAGCTTGAACCGGGTGTAGGTAGTTTTTGTTTCTAGTTCTAGTTAGTGTTGATGGGCTACGAGCTGAAAGAGAAAGAGAAACCCTTTGCGTTAATACACCTGAACACAATCGACACTAGAGTGTAACGCCTAGTCTCAGTGGTTGACTCTTGCTAAAGTGCTTAAAATTTGTATGTTTGTAACTAACTTGAACACTCAAAAGAGAGTGTCTTGATAAACCAATCTGCAGTGAGTCATGTGCTATGTGTATGAGCTATACTATATTCTATGCTTTACATTTGATGCCTAGAACTTGCCCTGTGTGTTTGCAAAGCCAAATAGTAGCTTCATTCAGTCTTAGAAGTGATATAGGCATTTCTTTGTTAAGCTAGATATATAAAGTAAACCCACCTAAATGTAATACATCGTAGTTAACCCCGTTGAGTCTATAAGCCTGTTTCTTTGGCACCCACATTGCGAACCTTACCCAATTGTTTGAATAGCCATCTGTTTGAACCCCTTTTACCTCCCATGAGCACTTGAATGGCCTTGACATATGCAAAAGTTAAAGTGTAGGGTGGTGGTTTGGTTTTTGAGTGGAACCAATGGAATGGAGGAAAGGTGCAGTGTTGGAAGAGTAAAAGAAG